CACAGACAGTCCTTATCACCACTCATAGACTAAGTCCTCAACACCCTCACAGACAGTTTTTAATATTACCTTTTCTACAAGCTGGCATGAAGTGCGTATAAAGGGGCTATAATAAGGCTAGCCACCTCTAGAGAATAAATAGGAGGTAGGAAAGGTTAGATTGGGATTTTTTGTATCCCTCTTACTAATACTAGAAATGGTGTGGATGATGAATGTAATTTTTTCATACCTAACTAGGAACAATATTGCCTTTTGAATATTTGTAGGTGTATGTGTTGAGAAGCTATTATATATTGTTTAGAATAGTCATGAACAGTCCTTGCTTCAGCATTTTCAATTGTTTAATTCTAAAATGAAATACAAGGTCTTCCATAAGTAGAAAAAGAAAATTATTGTCGAATTAAATGATTGTATTATTGTAGTATATTTAGTTTATATATAAGTATTGTGTGTATTAGCAGATAAAATTGATAGAGCAATATTTTTTCAGGCATCTGCCCAGGGATTCCTTTCCCAGAGGGATAACCTAAGCATGCAGACTAGATTCAAGTAAGTAATTTATATAAGAATTTTCATCCGAATGAAGCTGGAAAATGATGTACATATACTTTTTGAGTTACTCCGTGTTTTGAAAAAACATGTATAAATTCAAAAACTTCATTTTCATTCCTAAAAGATGCTAATACATTCAACCTAAAAGTAAGGTTATGAAGAATCCTGTTTCAAGGGTTTTTCTCATAGGTCAGATGGAGTGAAGGGTGCAGTCATTGGCATTGATTTGGGCACCACAAATTCATGCGTGGCAGTCATGGAGGGCAAGAATGCGAAGGTGATCACAAATGCTGAAGGAGACCGCACCACACCATCCATTGTGGCTTTTACAAAGGGTGAGACGAAGAATTTTTTTGTTACAATTATTGTTATTAGTATATCTTTATTTCTATTATCTGTTCATTGTTATGTACTAGGAATATTATTTTCAGTGTAATGTTCATTGTCTATTAATTTTAGTTTCATGTACTGTTCATTGCTTTTTCTTTTTTTTTATACAAATACATTGAAGCTTTGTAGCAATAGAAATGACTAATGTACCTTTCAGATGGTGAGCGGCTTGTGGGTATTCAGGCCAAGCGACAGGCAGTCACCAACTCTGGCAATACATTTTATGCTACCAAAAGACTTATTGGTAGGAAGTATGATGACTCAGAGATCAAGAAAGACAGGTTAGTCTCTTTGAAAGATTTTTCTTGATTATTTTTTTTTTTTTTTGAGGAAAATGCCAAAGTATTGTGGTTATAATTTCAGGATGTCCTGAACTTTTTTACATTGCAGTTTTTAAAATTTAATGTATTAAATTTTCAGGGATACTGTAGCTTTTAAGATTGTACGAGCAAGCAATGGTGATGCTTGGGTGCAGGCTGATGATGGGCAGATGTACTCTCCATCTCAGATTGGTGCTTTTACCCTGATCAAGATGAAAGAAACAGCAGAGGCTTACCTTAATACTGCTGTTAAGAATGCAGTCATCACTGTGCCTGCCTACTTCAATGACTCCCAGCGACAGGTAAGTAAAAACTGGAGAGGCATGACAATTCTATTGGAAAGTTGTGCTCACATATAGAGCTTAGATTTAGAAAGTACTTTTTGCTTTTATTGTAATTTATTTATTTTTATTTATTTTTTTTTTTCCCTGAAGATTCTAGAAAGTATGCAGATTGAATTCAACAAAAACTTTTAGTTTTAGATTTCATTGTGGAATGTTTCAGGCCACAAAAGATGCCGGACAGATTGCTGGATTGAATGTTCTTCGTGTTATTAATGAGCCAACTGCTGCTGCTCTTGCCTATGGCATGGACAAAACTGATGACAAAATGTGAGTTGAATGCTATTCATATGCAATTGTTTTTTTTTTTTTTTTTTTTAGGCAGCCTTTTTGTGAACCAGTGTTGATTTTGATGACATTCCCCATGTTCTGTCTTTTAAGACTTTCGTGGTTTTAGATCATCATAGATTATACGAGGATTCTTCACCTGGGTAATCCTTAATGGATTAGCTCAGTTTTGCGGGTCCTGATATTTGATTTACATAACCAGTTTCAAACTAGTGAGGAAGTTACAACTGTACAGTTATTCATGTTAGTTTTGATATTCATGAATAATATATAATGTATGCTTTGATATTGTCTTTATGTATATGAAGTCCCTTTTTTTACTGACATTTAAATGGCTTTCTCCAACACAGCATTGCCGTGTATGACTTGGGTGGTGGAACTTTTGATATCTCGGTCCTGGAAATTCAGAAGGGTGTCTTTGAGGTGAAGTCTACCAATGGTGATACTTTCCTGGGTGGAGAAGATTTTGACAATCACCTTGTTAATTTCCTTGCTTCAGAATTCAAGCGAGAGGTATACCCTTAATATTTGATTTATTTTATTTTTTTAAAATTTATTCAGCAGTAATGGTAAATCAAAGTATTTTCATTGAGGATTTTTAACCTAGTATAGGATGTTAAGATTTTGTGGCCTTTTTAAGTTTCATAGCACGAAATTCTTTTAAACTTCATCCCATTACATAAGACCTTAATATCTTCATTGAAGGCAAAGGTCATGGTAACTAATGAAAGTATACATTACAGCAAGGTGTTGATGTCACAAAGGACAACATGGCAATGCAACGTCTGAAGGAGGCTTCGGAAAAGGCAAAGATCGAACTGTCTTCCTCCACACAGACTGACATTAACCTGCCTTACCTTACCATGGATGCTTCGGGGCCAAAGCACATGATGTACAAGGTGAGCCTTTGATCCAACTTGCTTATACTTGCATGATTTAACAGGGTCAGTCTCTCCGCACAGTGATTTAGGAGACTTTCAAAACTAGGTTTAGTTGATTTAACACAATGGTGGAGATTTTTTGTACAGGCAACTTGATTCAAAGTATTGTTTGATTTCCTTCAAAATGTGATTTATTTGTTACCTGTGTGGGGAGGGATGGTTCACTTGACTTAGTTTGTATTTAGGATGACTCCAACTTTGTCTAATTAAGTTTTCTTCCCCAGTTGACTCGATCCAAGTTTGAGAGCATTGTGGACAAACTAGTGAAACGCACTGTAGACCCCTGCCTCAAGGCTATCAAAGATGCTGAGTGTGGAAAGTCTGAGATTGGAGAAGTCATTCTTGTGGGTGGCATGACCAGGATGCCCAGGGTGAGGTTTCAAGGAAGGTTTCAGGTTGTCTAGGAATTGTTGATATTAATGTTAATAAGTGTTGACCTAAAATTAGTTTATTTTTGGACCACTTGATCTTAGAGAATCCACCAATTGTTGTACATGCTGAGGGAAAACAATACAATATCTGAATTACAGGTGGTTTCCACCGTGCAAGATATCTTTGGTCGTGCCCCAAGCAAGGCGGTGAATCCTGATGAAGCAGTGGCTGTGGGAGCTGCCATCCAGGGTGGAGTGCTTGCTGGTGATGTAACAGATGTGCTGCTTCTTGATGTGACTCCTCTATCTCTGGGCATTGAGACACTGGGAGGAGTCATGACTAAGCTAATCAACAGGAACACCACCATCCCCACACGCAAATCACAGGTAGGCCTGGAATGGGATTTAAACATTAGCACACTTTTGAAATGCTGATGGGGACTAGAACCAGGGCCTCTCTGGTTAATACCCTTGTAAAAAGATGGCAACACATGAACAAATACTATGGATTTAGTATGAATAGATAAAATCCATTTTAGGCATTCTGACAAAAAGTCAATTAATTTACAAATCAGTGATAATGTATATAGTGGATTAATCATAGAAAATCTAAAGTGAATCAGATATAGATAAAAATGGCTGCAAAGGACCTATGATTAGATATTGCTGAGGATAACTGATAAGTGATTCAACTCAGTATAGGAAAAAGAAATGCTAGCATAAATATGTATGTGAATATTTCAATAATATACATGGGGCAGTGATTTCAACACAATACTCTAAATAGCATTACCAGTGTGCCAGTTGCTGGTTTCAGCAGTGTCTGTAACCTACTTCTACTCCTACAAATTTTGGTACAGCCATTCGCATATGGGCATATCTGTTAAGTGAACATGCTAGTGGAGGCACTGTACCTCTAAATATATGCTGCTAGCTCCTTGTAACATCACAAGACTTAAAAGAAAAAAATTCTTCGTGTTAGGGGATTTTCATTTTGCCATTTGCTTTTAATTATTCTTTGAATAAATGCAGAAGTTGGGGAAAATGTACACAAAGTAAAGGTTGATACCTATAGACATGAACTTTATAGGTCCCTTCCCGCTCTCCCTAGGTATTCTCCACAGCTGCTGATGGCCAGACCCAAGTAGAGATCAAGGTTCACCAAGGTGAGCGTGAAATGGCTAATGACAATAAGTTGTTGGGCCAGTTCAGCTTGATTGGCATTCCGCCTGCCCCCCGTGGTGTACCCCAGATTGAAGTTACCTTTGATATTGATGCCAATGGTATTGTCCATGTGTCTGCAAGAGACAAGGGTACTGGCAAGGAGCAACAGAGTGAGTAATTGTAGTATCTTGTCTTTGCTTTTGTGTTCCCTCAAAGTAAAAGGTTATCTTGCTCAAGTTCTGAGAGGAGTCATGTTATTAGTACTCTTGCTTACTAATATTTTAAAATTTGAAGTGAAAGGGGAAATAGCCAAATGACCTTTAAAATTAACCAATCAATATACGTGCACAGTTGTGATCCAGTCATCTGGTGGTCTGAGCAAGGATGAGATTGAGAATATGATCAAGAATGCTGAGCAATATGCAGAGGAAGACAAGAAACGTAAGGAGGTTGTGGAGGCCATCAATCAGGGTGAGAGCATCATTCATGACACTGAGAGCAAGATGGAGGAGTTCAAGGATCAACTCCCTGCTGAGGAGGTAAGTTTTTTTATTAAATTTTTCTTGCTATATGCCTTCCCTTGCTTCTGATAGGTAAACCCTTTACCGGGTACACATTTTAAATACCTCATATATATACATGTATTTAAGTAATCATATATGGTCACTTGCCAGATAAACGGTTAACACTTGACTTTGTTTCATGGCTTTCAAGTGTATGCATTCATAGAACACGAGTAATTTTGTTTCATTCCTATTTGGTTAAGGAGGTTAGGCATTGTTTTTAACACCTTGGATCCAGTTGCTTCACAGCAATTGCATGGACCAAAATACGGTCATAACTCATATGAGAGGCTACTTTTCCGGGTATATAGCTTGTAGGCTGAGTGAATGTAAACACTTGTTCTCCTTTGTAAAGTTTTCATTTTGAGCATAAGTGTTTTTAGACATTTTGCCTTTTTCTAATATTTGCCATTTGATTTACTTTATCTAGACGGTAATTTTGTCCCCATAGGTAGTCCATAACCAAGTGCAATATGAATAGAAATGTAATATATATATTTTTTTTTATCTGTAATAGAAGCTGCATTGTGGTTTACAGCAGCCAGGAATAGGATGTTGAGCATGGAAATTCCATGCTCCTTTATCAATAGGAGTAATTAGTCTTTCTAAATGCCAAACGAGTATCACCCCCAAGAGGTTTGTGCACTCATGGTTACTTTCCTTAACGCTGACCTTCAGCCAAAATGCTCATGATAAGTTTGCTGCAGCCAGATTTCCCCCCCATGAGTGCATATTCGTCACCTGCCCCTCAACCCAAATTATACATCTGGATCGAAGGGGTTAAGATGGAAGTGCCTGAATTTCTATTTAAGTACTTTACAAGTAAACATTAGTTTTAGAAAGGTAGTCATGCTAAGTGTTCCATGCTAACAAAAATAATTTCTCAGACTCAAAAGTTAAAGGAGCAGCTGACTACGGTGAAGGACCTCTTGGCAAACAAGGACTCTGCAGACCCAGAGGAAATCAAGCAAAAGGTCAGCGAGCTCCAGCAAGCCTCACTCAAGCTCTTCGAGATGGCCTACAAGAAGGTAAGAACCTAGGAATTGAATTTGGAGAACTTTTATAACAGAAAAGTTACATGGATATTGTACTTACTTTGGAGAGAACTTTGAACCATTTTATGCCCCTTCCACAGATGGCATCTGAGAGAGAGTCATCAAGCAGCAGTGGCGAGAGCAAGGACAAAAAGGAAGGAGAGGGACAGCAGTAGATGATATAATGACCACTGATTTGTCTAAAAACTTGTTCAGTCAGGGTTTTGGGGATCTTGAGGGGGTAGGAGAATTTTTTTTTTTTTACTGAATTTATAGATTAATAACCCCAATCCTCTGATATTCTTGCTGAAGGAAATGTTTCTCCAAGGGGACTGGTGAATAATGCTATAGCATCATTGTATGAGCGAATGTATGATTTTGAGATTGTTTGTCCTAGTGAATGCCTGTGTAAATATTTGATGTAAATTCATATACTGGCATAGACGTCTATGTTAATATAAGGTTAAGTTACAAATTTTCTTTGTATAAAAAAGATGTGTATATATATATATAATGTTAACAATAAATTTTTTGTTATAAAATGTTTATGAATAGGTCCTAAGATAGATATACAGAATTTCTGAGTTTCCTTTTTTTAGTGTGGCAAGGTGGCAAGATTCCACTGAGCAGTGGAATCTGGTCATATTGTTGCTCCTAGACAATGATCTACTCTTAGTGTGTTGTGACACCAAGTCTAACAGTAATTGTCATTAGGATTTATATATATATATTGTGCTATGCATATTGCATATGCTATAAGATAAAAGCAGAAAGGTTCGAATAACTGTTTTAGAAGTAACACCTGAATTGAATATCCCATTTTAAAGTAGATATACTAAAGGCAAGAGTGACCAGTGTTGAATCCATCTTGTAAGGTAAGAAATCATGTCAATGACTGTTGTAAATGTATCTGTAATTATCAAAGCATTTTTTCACTAGACAGTTCCATGTGGTTTGGTGTCAATATAAAAGAAAAAAAGAATGAAAATGAATTTTAGTAAATGTGAATTTTTTTTTGGAATGTTCTTGAATGTAATTATCCAAATTCCTATTGCAGTTATGTGAAGCATTGTAGAAGATAGTGCTTGAATCCTATGGTGGAGAACTTCAAGGTATGAATACTGTAGACATCTAGTTACTTTTCTTTTTAAAGTTTTGTTTACTTGAAAATATTGGAAAGGTTACAGTATTGGAAGTTAAAGGGGTAATAACATTTATTAGAATATTTAAAGAAACCAAACTATGGGAAATGATTCAATCACATCCTTGAAAGTTTTATGCAGATTTGAGAATTTGAATTGTATTGGAGAATACTAAAGTATGAAGAAAACCTTTTCTTGACGGAAAATAGATTTTGGAAAGAATAATAGAATAAATTCATATTGAAAGTCTAAACTGTTTCACTCTGAAAGCCTGTATTAATAAATGTGAATATATACTTTCCTTAACAGATGAGCTGAGAGCTGTATAATGCAAGAATTTGGGGACTTTATAGAAAAAGTAAGGAGGTTATTACAAGCTGTTCATGAATATGAATTACTTAAACTGCATTCTGCAGAAAATGATGTACTTATTTTTCGTCTCTGAAATGCAATGTGGAAATTTCTTATCTGACAAGTATAGCTTAATTTACGCCAATTACTTGTATGAAATGTTCTGATGAAATTAATTACTTCCAGGTCGGATTGAGAAATGAGAGAACTTTATTTAAAAGTTCAAAACAGTGTGGAAGAGTCTGACTGAAGGTGTTTAAAGTTAAAAACTTCAACAGATGTTCGTTTACTGCATATTTTTCTTCAGCAGAAAGGCTTTCAGTGACATTGTATCACTTTTTAAAAGTGGGGTAAGTGGAGAATGAAAGCTCGTTGAGAAATGGGTTAATGTGAAATAGTTGATGAAAGAAATTTATTGAAGCATGAAACTGATGACACCATAACAGGGTGTTGACTGAATTTTGATGATAAACTCTCACTGAGGAACCAAAGTCAGCTTGTCCATTGAAGTGGTTATGGAAGAGATTCAAAATTATTAATCTATTTTCAGTTTTCTTTGGAGGGAATGCAAGCATTGTGTTGGGAAGGACAGAATTTGAGAATTAGATAAGTGACTAGATTTACGTATGATTTGAATGGAGTCGAGGATAGACAAGATTAACCCAGTCAGGCCGGGTACATTTTGTAGCCAAAATAAAAAAATCCGGGCGGCTACAAAATCGGCGGGCGGAGCTTCCCTGGAGTCTGTTTGCCCGCCCGGCCGCGCGCCACTGCTACGTCGGAGCGCAGCCCCGATATAGCATCACAATAGCGGGCCGCCCGGCAATGTTTATTTTTTCCGGTGTCTCATATATGTGACACCCGGGACGAATGGGTTAAATAGTCGCTGAAGAAATTATTTTTTAAGTGGATTTTGTTCAATCCTTAATCTTTAGTTGATGTGGGGTTCATGTCATGGCTGACTTGATTATGGCTCCATATGGCAGATCATTCACATCCTGTTGCAATAATTCATGCTATACATTATGTACTGTTTTATGATGTGCCCATGTACCACATATCTTGTGGCATTGCCCTGAGGGAGAATGGGATGTGCACTGTTATGAATGATTGTCTTCTGTAAAGGACGTAGGTGCACAGATCATTTATCTGATATCCCTCGAACATGCCATATACCAAAATGTTGCTCTCTTACTGTTGCTGTGAACCAGTCAGTAACCTTCTCAAGTAACCTATGACTGTTTCAACTGCCAATTGTCATTTGGCACTTTACTCTTGAAGTATGACACACAGAGGAAACTATTGTAGTACCATTCTTGTATAGAGCTGCATACAATTTCTTATTTTTATGAAGAATAAGTTTTGCAAAAAAATCCTTTTTTCAAAATAATGGTAAAACCACACTCCATCTTGTACAGTAACTTTTTTTTTTTTCTGAAATGCTCTTCATATAAATAATGAGGCTAGTACTGGTTCAGTCTAGCAACTAAAATGACTAGTATGCATATCTGAATGATCTGCATACAAGTATTAAAAAAAAAAAAAAAAAAAAATATCTGTTGGTGTGGCATGGCGAGTGATAAGCACTAGGTGCATCTTAACAAGGCCCCAGAGGATAGCCCACTTACTGGGGCATACAGTGGGGGGACTAATACCCCTAATTTTCTCAAGGGCATAAGGTTATCTAGATTTCCCATCTTTGTTGAGTTGTCTTAAAAATGTTTGCCTTTGATCTGAAATCTTGATTTTTTTTTTTTTTTTTTTTTTTTTTTTTTTTTTCAGAAATCCATTTCGGCATTAAACATTGGCTTTCATGTTGAGTAAAAAGAATAGGCACCACAGAAAAATTGTTGAAGATCATACTAATGTAGGCATCTCTTCTTTTTCAGGATTTTATGTAGCTAAAACCTCTTGTGAATCCATTTATAAAATTTTGGGGTAAGTGAAGAGTAAAATTTTAGCTATTGAGGATATATGATTGAAAGTAACAAAAGAAAATAGAAAGTTGTTTAATTAAGATAAGAATTAGTGATGAAACTATAACAGGGTTTAGGCTGACTTTTGATGACAAACTCTCTCACTGAGAATCCAAGCTTATATTGTCTGCTGTAATGAGTATAGAAAAAAACTCATAAGTATTGTTCTATTTTCAGTTATTTTGGAAGTTGGATGAGGAGCAGTTAGTTGGAAATTATGCTGATCTTACAAATTGTGTAAGTGACCAAATTTGTATGTATAATGATATAAATGACGGTGATGGAGATCGTGTTACTGAGTCATGTTAGTGATATTGATAAAATCTATAAACCATGGGATTGCTTCACAGCAATCACATGGGCGTTTGAGGGATGTAGGCTGGGCACATGTAAACACGTGTGGGTACAAGGCTATGCCTCCCTTTTGTGGTGACATTTTGCACAAGCATTTTTAGCTTTTTTGCCATTTTCCAATGTCCATATTTGTCTTTTGGTTTGCTTTACCTAGATGGTAATACAGTTTTCCTTGCACATATCATTTCTTTGTAGTAAAGAACTGGGTGCAAGGAAAAGTGTGAAACTTTTTTTTCCAACAATGTTCTGTAATAATCCTGTATCCTTTACATGGTAAGATGGAATTTTGATGTTTTTTTAGGTTGAAAGCGAGTTAAGAAAAGGTGTTTAGTGGGGTTCTATAGAAAATGGTTATTTTTTGTCTCCAAAGTACTTTGTGGAAACTTGTATTCTGATTTTTTTTACTCCCATTACATTAGAATATGATAAGGAAAAACATCTTCCAGGTCCTTGATTGATGTCTGGCAAAAGTGAACTATTATTATGGAGGAGAAAGTTTGTGTGGAAAAAATCTAAATGAAATTAGAGCTGTTGTAAGAGGTAAGATGTGAGCATGTTTAGCTTTTTGATTGAAGTAAATATTGCAGATTTAATTTTTAGTTGACTAGCTGGACTTCAGTGCACAGTCCTATAGCAAAATTAGGTTGGAATTGGACAGTTTTTGCTAGTCAAATTTGATAATTGTGGAATAGATGGGCTGATATTTATTTTTGATATAATAGATACATCTTCCATTGAAAATAAGATCTTCCACGATCTTCCTTTCAGAATTTCTGCAGAGTAAACCTTTGTTGCTATAAATCATAAGAATGGGTAAGTAAATAGTAAAAAATTGTAGAGAAATGGGTAAATGCAAAATAGAAATTAAAACCAATAAAGAAGTGTTTTAATGAAGATAGAAATGAAACTGATGACATCATATCAGGGTTTAGACTGACTTTTGATGATAAACTCTCTCACTGAGAACCAAACTCAGCTTGTCCACTGCAGTGGTTTGTGAAGAAACTCATTATTATCTATTTTCAGTCTTCTGGGGAGGAAATGCAAGCACTTTTTTGGAAACGGTGCAGATTGTGAGAATTGGGTAAGTAGCCAGATTGTGTGTATGCATGTATGTGCGTGCGGCTGTGTATTGAATAATGTTTAAATACATGTGCCGTTAAGTAATAATTGAAAATTAGGAATTCTTGTACTAATGTTTCTTTCCCTTTTTCCAGCAGTTTTCTGCAAAAAGTAACTTGTACATCTTTAAAGTTTGGGGTGAGTAAAAAGTACAATTCTGTAGAAAAACAGTTGAACTTGAAATAAGCAATATACTAGTAAATGATAAGTTCTTTCTTGAAGATAAGAATGTGATGATACCATAACAGGGTTAGACTGACTTTTGATGATAAACTCTCTCACTGAGAAACCCGACTCAGTTTGTCCACTGCAGTAGTTAGAGAAGAGCTTTAAACTCAGAAAAATTGTTCTACTTTCAGTTGTTTTTGAAGTTCTATTGGAAGCAGTTTGTAGAAGTTAATCTGATCCTAAGAATTCGGTAAGTTTCTTGGGAAAAGTTATGAAATATGATTTAAATGAAGTTGAGATAAAGAATTAATAGATATTAACAAGGGATTGTTGAGAAAAGTGAAATCAATGAGACAAAGGGAAGGGCCAATACCTGATATAGCATTTAAGGAAACCTGCCTCAAAACATCTATCAATCCATTTCAGAAATAGCTCGGATTGAAGGGATTCCTTGTAATTGAAACTGCATTGACAGGACATGTAATGATAAATGGGGAAAAAATCAATGTAGAGTAACACCTTTTTTTTTTGTTGTTGTTGAGAATGATGCAGTGTTAACTAATAGCCAGTTTTGTTTTTAGACAAAGAAATGAAACCGAAGAAGACTGGAGGAAGAGAAATTGCTACTGCTGTAAATGTGCTGTGTGGTGCAGCCATAATCTCATCCAGTAATCTTGCTGACCTGCATTGAATTCCCCACTCCACTAATGGATGGTAACCTTTGCCTTTCGGGGTAGTTTAGAAGAACAATAAACAGACAAGCCACAATTTGACTAATGTCATAGAGAGCCGGTCACAGCAAAATCTGTATTATGCATAGAGGGCCAGGTAAGAGGAACTGCAATTTATTGAGCACTGAAGCTTTGCGTTAATACAAGTAAAATGATGACCTTATTTTTCGTCAACTGAATTCTGGAATGTAGAAATTAATAAACTGATTTTTTGTTACTATGTATAGTGTACAAGGTTATTCTTACACTACATAAAACTATTATTATTTCAGTTCATCAGGAGGGCAACTCTTCTAAGTCTTCAGTGTGGAAACAAGGTATGAAAGATTGATGATTCATGTATATATCAAAATGTAGAAAGTAAAGGGTAACACCTTCAGCCCTGAATGGGTCGTTGCTTTAATTTCCTATGGTGAAGAAGTGTAGGGCCATACAAATATTTGTCTTAGAGATTCATTGTCACTCTATTGACTACTTATTGTATGAAGTAATTAAAAAGCTTGGTAGGATATGGAGAAAGTAGGTTGCAATAACTACAAAGAACTAAATCTAACCCTTTTAACAAAATTGTATAGTCCATGAATATTTTACAATATAGCAAATATAGTACTCTTTAACCCATCCGTCCCGGGTGTCACATATATGAGACACAAGGAAAAAATAAACAGTTTCGGGCTGCCCGCCAGTGCGATGCTGTCTCGGAGCCGTGCTCCGCGGCAAAAGCGGCGGGCGGCCGGGCGGGCGGACAGACTCCGGGGAAGCTCCGCCCGCCGATTTTGTAGCTTCCCGGATTTTTTTAATTTGGGCTACAAAATGTACCCCGGCGCGGGTGGGTTAATAACCAATTTTTAAGTCCAAAAAATCCATGACTGGGAGTAAAGTTACGGGGGTATTACCCAAAATTTTTATTCAAAATTTCAAAGGGGGACTTCCAAATTAAAGGAAGACTCCTCACGGTTATCAGAAATGCACATGACCCAAATTTAACCCAAAATAGAAATTAGTCTTCTAAAACTATTTAGAACCCTTAAAGAAATATATATGTAATTTTTAATCTAGGAATTTTAGGAGGAAGTTATTTAGCAATGTGTGGACAGTGGTAATTGAACTTAAAGAACTTGGCAAATGATTAAACATTTTTATAGTAAGACTAAATGAAGTTGGGACTTAGTAGATAGTTTTCCTTCCTGTATTGTTATGATGAATCAATTTTTCGTCTCTTAATCCTGATGTGGAAAATCATTGCTGATTATATTTGTACATTTTCATTGCATTTTAAAGTTTCTTTTTGATCTGACAAAGTATATTTCAGATGTGAACTGGACTGACTTCCTGTTTGATGAAAACACCTGCAGACATTTTAAGGATAATGCATTGAGGTGCCGTTGTGAAGACTAGGTATGTTCTTTTGAGTATGACATATATCAAGCAGTAAGGCAAGGCAATAAAATAAAGATAAGAAATAAAGTGATGAAACCATAACAGGGTTTAGGCTGACTTTTGATGACAAACTCTCTCACTGAGAATCCAAGCTTATATTGTCTGCTGTAATGAGTATAGAAAAAAACTCATAAGTATTGTTCTATTTTCAGTTATTTTGGAAGTTGGATGAGGAGCAGTTAGTTGGAAATTATGCTGATCTTACAAATTGTGTAAGTGACCAAATTTGCATATGTATGATATAAATGACGGTGATGGAGATCATGTTACTGAATCATGTTAGTGATATTAATAAAATGTATTAACCATATGATTGCTTCACAGCAAGCACATAGGCATTTGAGGGATGTAGGCTGGGCACATGTAAACACGTGTGGGTACAAGGCTATGCCTCCCTTTTGTGGTGGTATTTTGCACAAGCATTTTTAGCTTTTTTGCCATTTTTCAATGTCTATTTCTTTGGTTTGCTGTACCTAGATGGTAATAGACTGTTTTCCTTGCAAATACTCCATATCATTTCTCAGTGGTAAATGAATATATATATATATATATATATATATATATATATATATATATATATATATATATATATATATTACATATACATACACATTATATAATCCCCCCCCCCCTCATTGTCAAGTATTCTTTACTTGGAAAATCTTTGTGTGGATTTTGTTCCACATGAATTCTTCATTGGAGTATAAACCAGGTGTTTAATTATTGATTTGCATGGCTCTGTCAACTGATTGATATAGTCAGTTGGTGGAAATTAGATCTTTGGAATTTATTGTTTAGCCATCTGTATTTCAAGTATTTTACAAGGATTAAGTAAAAATGAAAAGCTCAAGGGTAAGCCTTGTTTTGAAAAACACTGAAGCTAGATGTTTCAAGAATTTGAAAATCCTGCATATGAATAATACTTATCCAAATATGAATACTTTTTCCACATCTTTTAAAGTAGATATGATAAAGTACTGATTCCTTATCTTCCAGAAATCTTAAAATCCCACATGCAATTACAAATCTGTCTTTGGCATCTTTCAGTACATCCAGTGAGGAAGTTCACTTTGCGTTAAAGTCAGTTTGTGTGGTAGTTGGAGACGAAAGCTGTGGGTAAGTAGGGGGGTAATTTGCGTTTCTACGATGAATAAAAGTGGAATATTGTAAAATGAATATTTTGTTCTTGTTCAGTTGAAATGATGCTTTAATTTTTCGTCTCCTAATCTTCATGTGGAATGATTATATCTGATAATGCAGATTGTTCAATATATGATGTGCTTTTGTAATTTCATACTTAAAGAATCATCTTTTCCAGGTTTGCTTTGGGATTAAATGAAAAGTAAAGCACATCTTTTTATAGATGAATAAATGAAGTAAGAAATTACAATGGAATTGAGCACCAGGTAATATGGAGGAGGAACAATGTTTTTTTTTTGTAATATATTTTGATTTGATCTTTAAGACTGAAACTGATGACACCTTTACAGGAAATACTGAGTGTTGATGAATAACTCTCTCACTGAGAAACTGAATGCAACATGACCATTTAACTGGTTAAATGAACAAAACTCAAAAAGTTTTCTGTTTCAGTATAATTGGGAGAGCAGGCAAGCAACTAGTGGGAATTTTGCTGGCCGTAAATGAGTATGGTAAGTGATCAAAGTTATTTTAAATGTTATTACACCTTTAGTGATGACCCTATTTTTCGTCAACTGAGTTAATATATGTAGAAATGAACATCTGATATATGCACACATTAAGAAGTGGAAGTTTTGTTTCGGATGTATTTTACCTTACATATTGGATTTCAGATAATTCTCTTGATGTGATGCCTGCTGCATTACACTGTGGATAGAAGGTATGTTTGAAGTATGTAGTATTTGGATATGTATGTATCCATCTGTAATGAAAAGAATGTCCCATATTGTGAATGAGTATCATGAATATGAATGATAAATCTCTAGGTTTAGATTGTTCAGTGAAAAAATAGCATCTTATTCTGGTGAACCGTCCCCATCTAGCAAAAGCTAATGTCCCTTTTTTGTTATTTTTAGGAAAGCTTGCATTGATTAGAGGAAGGGAAGTGACCATGGGAAATTTCAACAGAGAAACGGCCTCTGTTAGTCTGAGAGGGGGCTATAGGAGGTGAGATAAATGAGGGATAGACACTTTGTCATCGCAAGTTTAGGATCTATGCTAAGAGTGCATAGTAAAATGATGACCTTATTTTTCGTCAACTGAGATAAATTGAGGAAATGAATATCTGATTTTTGGTATATGTAGCATACATTGTTGAACTTGTATTATAACATAAGCAACCATTATCTTTTATTTTCAGGTGATATTCTCGACTCCCAAGAATATTAGTGTATTCTTACTCTTGTTCAGAATAATGAAGCTCCTCCAAAATTGTATTAACACATTTACTGTAACAGCTAGAAGAGTTAATATTTGGTGATTTGTGGTAAAGCTGTTTAAAAAAATGGTGTAAAATTAATCACAGGTACTTAAATAATAATTTGTAATGTGGAACTTGAAATAAACGAATAGATACAAAAAGATTTGATTTCTTTATTCCCCTAAAGAATGGAGAAGTGAGGAACTATGAGAAAAGTGTAATTCAAAAGTGGGTACATTTGCAAAGACCTTTAGTTGTCCAAAATGATTAACCCCAGATTGTTCACCAGATCTAGTTATATATACCACGTGTGTGCATAGAGGGTGGCACCAAATACTAAGTCCGTAAGGAGATAAGGGTGTAGGGATCCATAACCTTTGAATTTCTGAGTTGCTTCTGAATTTGTGTGAAATTTATATTCATGGTATACTAGAAGATGAGGCCCGAGACCCAATGCTGCGAGCACCCCAACAATGGATCCCATCCCTCGCCTCAACTAATTTGTCGTGGGGGGGGGGGGTTAGGAGGCGGAGACCGAGACCCAATACAGGGATCTCCCCTGCCTTGGACCTCAGCCCTTGACTAATTTTTGCATGCCCTTTTCTCCCTCCAGCTACTGTTTCCGTCCCTTCTCCAACCCCTTCTACTACCTATTTTCGAAGGTGTAAGAGCCGTGCTGAAAGGATGAAAGGCCGACTTTGTGCCAGTCCTGTGTACGGCCTGAGGGAACCATAGGCACAGTATTACCCTGTTAAGTTGTCAATGACATGAGGAGTGGACTGTTTACTTACCCAACATAGTCAAGGCTTCCCATGGCCAGTAATGAAGCAATACCCATGTTATAGGCAATGAGGCTTGCCCCTTCAAATAGCCCTACTAATTCAGACTACCGGCTCCCCGACCCCAGGCTCTCCTTTGACCATGCCTCTGAACACAAACTACTATCCACTCCTCAATGCCTACTAATGCATTAACCACCCAAGGCGAGACTCCAGAAGATATTCCTACTCTCCCAACTTCCCCAACTTCATCACCTCTACCCCTACAACCTTCATCAAACACCCCAACCTCCCTTATTACTACTGTAGTGTGATCTGTCTAACCCATGGGTCCCGTCCCAGTTCATCAAGTCACTCTTTTTAGAATTCTGCCCTCCCTTGATGCTGGCGGGGGGATACATGCGCAAATAGACCTGGTTAACCCCTGTTAATTCAGTCCCCTTAAGTGGTAGCATGGGGGGAAACTAAATCATTAATAGGGGAGTTTGTGTGAATACACTTTCTGACGTTCAGCCTAACCATATGGTAAAATACTACTACAAATTAATCTAAGAAAAATACAAAAGTAAAAGAATATGTGCTGAAGGCACCTAAAATTACTGACTCGTATGCAAAAACTAAAAAAGAGACTTCAGAGTGGAGAGCCTGGCTGAAGGCCTTACCATAAAACATAGACAAAACCAGCAAGTCTGGCGTCAGAGCTGAAGGCTTAAAACACCTTAAACCTAAAAGAAAGAAAAAAAATACGACAGTCTAAAACTTAAGTCTGGTGACACCGAAACAGGAAAACAAATTAAAAGATCACTCAGACTTCCTACTTTGAAATGTTAAAAGTTACAAATAAAGAGAGAACAAACCAGCCAAGTTCATTTAAAAATAAATAAAAGTGTTCAGATTATTCAATAAAAATGTCCTTAGGATCACGTCCCGCTTCTATGCAAAGAATATCAGGTACTCGGTAAACTTTGTTCGGTTCAATAAATATGGCGACACTATCGGTGGTTTAAAGCTTCGCAGGATAGCGAAACTCATTGACGTCTCGACCATTACTGTTTGTTTATATTGTCCAATGCCCGTGACGTCAGAGGCCAAACATTTGTACAAAATATATTCTTGCAATGAATAAGCTAAGAATGTGCATAAAAGTGAACAAAAATAAAAGTATAAAATGGAAACCATAAGAAAAAGAAATGCAATAACTAAAAAGAAAGAATAAACACTGTACGTAAAAATGCTCCCCCTATAACTTAACATGAAAATGAAGCCTTAAAACTTTACTGAATGTTAAAAAAAACTAAAAGGGCCATTAAAATGTCTCGTTAAATCATAAAATGTTAAGAGAAAACCAAAAATGAAAGGGGAAACTAAAATAAAACTAAATAAATAAAAGCGAGATAAAAAAAAAAAAAAAAAAACGAAGCGAGACACGTGGCAGACAATCCTCCAACACGGCAGTCAGAGCGGGAGAGCAGAGAGGATGAGATGCAGTATCCAAGACCACCTTACACTACCTTATCGCATTATTCTCCATCTCTCCGTAATACTAGCCCCCTCAACAACACCCTCTCCCACACGTCCCCGTCCTACCACCATAAACCCTACAAACATCTTAAATACTCTATCTAGCCCGGCTAAATGTGGCCGATTTTTCGTGATCCCCCCTACAGCTCCTTAGGCAACACTCCTCTTTCAGCAATGCCTCCAAAAACATGTGGACAGAGTCCCTTTCCATACCCGACGCGAGCCCTCTCGTCTCGTGTCACATCTGAAACTGAAGCTATAGCATTATCATATATAAATGATCGCTGGCAACCTCCTTCCTGCCGAATCTCATTCAACTCTTAATACTTGTACTGGAACTGTCTATCTCCCCAGCAAACTGCCCAGTCGATTCCAAAGATTGATCAGATTGTGGAGAAGACTTGCTCGGCTACCTCAAAGACCAAGACGTGAATTCAGTACATTGCTACTTCATCGAAAGGTCATCGAAAGGAACCCATCATTTCCAAAATTACTTTCAGTACACATGACCTTCCCGTTCGTATCTACATTGGTGGACAATCCCTCCCTGTTCGACCATACCCTCCTCCCCGTCAATGTCAAAACTATTGGCGATTTGGACCCTGCCAAACACTGCCGATCCACAGACCGATGCCCCCGCTGTGCCCAACCCGGTCATAACAGATCAAACTGCTCTGCACAAACACGCACATGTGCTAACTGTCCCCATAATATATTTTAGAGGCTGTCCCTATTACAAGTTCGAGTCTGAGGTAGCAACTCTCAGATACAAAAATGGTCTCATACCACGTGAAGCCAGACAGGAAGCACGCCATCAACGTTTCTCTTAAACTCCCTACTCCAGCAATGACGCTGGCTCTGCCCCTCCCCCTCCACCTCAAGATGTTACTATATCCTCCCCTACACCTACTTACTCAGACACCAGAAAACCTTTCTCACAAAACTCACCAACCAACTCCACTGCAGAAACTATGGAAGATGTTCAAAGCTATATGCTTGAGACCCAAAATTCCTTAACTCATACCCCTCCACACTTGAAATGACTGCCGACATCCATCCCCATCCTACTCATATTTCCCCTACATACCTCCCTCTTGCTCCCTCCCAACATAACCCATCCCCCCTCAACTACTGCCGATATCCATCCTCCTGACACCCATCCTCCGCATAGCAACTATCACCCTTCACCCCTCCTTAAAAATACTAGTGCTGTATGACCTTTGATGTCTAATACATTTATTATGCTTTTATCCATTGTATTTTGAATACGCTGGTAATAAATAAAATAAGATGTTGACGCGACAGTTAATTTTCAGTAGATAAAATCAGAATTGCAGTCGAATCCCACTTATCATGCAATAACCGCATGGAATGTTCTTTAGAGAGTTGTATGTTATTTGGAATATTATTGATGAGATTAAATGCACAACCAAATCACTTAAAAAACAATGAAAGCAAATTAAGACAAAAAGAAAAGTTATTTTGTCGCATTATTAAAGCTGTAACTTATGCTTCAACATTTGTTTGACAAGACAAATTTCTCACGTTATTTCGTTTGTTCTGTTTTATCTTGGGTCATTTCAAAAATTGTTTTTTCCCATTTTATAATGGTAACAAAAATTGTAAAGATTGTGAAAACGTTTAGAACAAAGACAACAAGCAATATAATAACCATGTATTCATTAGTTTACACTGACTTTTTTCCACAGTATATTGAGTGTTAGTGGTTGCGAATACACAGGTAGGAGCTGCGTTGTTCAGGGCAGTGAAGGAACACGCACTTGCGCACGCACTTGCATAGGTCCATTCATCCACTCATTCCACTCGGTAATATTAACCAACAGGAGAATAGTCCCTTGAACTCCGCGGAAAGTTTCACCAAGATTTATTTGTCTTAACATTTAATATTTTGTTTTTGGTAGAATTGCTGTCATATTACAGTCAAGACAATTGATCAAACAGGAAATTAAGTAAAATATCGGACAAGATAACAAGGAGTACCATGCGAGATGAGCTTCGGAAGTCTTTGCTGGTGCTACTGGATTTCACTATAACTATAAAACAATATGATCTTTTTTTTGTACCAGCTATTCAAATTTCTTGATCTGTTCTTTTATAGGTCGAGATCACATTTGCGTAAATCTCTGAATATTGGTAAGAATTCATGGGCATGCATATGTACGCGCATGATATACGTATGAGTGTGCATGTGACTGGTTGAGCCTCCAGGATAATACACTGGTAATGTATCGGCCTCTCATCCGAGGGGTCGGCGGTTCGCGCCCCGCCCAGGCGAGAGAAGTTGCAATTGTCGCCCGGAGGTTACTGCTGTGGCTGGGCACCGCGGTGGGTAAGGACTAAGCTCTGTCCCGTCTGCACTTGCTGACACTCGTTGATCGAGTCGACAGTAGTAGGCACAGTCCAGGCTCCCTCATAACCCGGGCATGGCTCAGCTTCGCATATCGGATTTATCCTTATCCTTATGTTTGGTTGCTTATGTGCGCGTATACGTTTGTATGTATGTCCCTGAGCGTGTATTTGTAAACGTGCGTGTGAGCGAAAACGATTGGTTACGTGCAAGTATACGTGTGTTTTTCATAGAAAAACAGAAAGCACATTTACATTTCCAGATTTCACCAGCGGCACTCACTGAAAATCTTAATCTATGATTAGTTAATCTATAATGATTATACAATTTTTTTTTGTACCATTACTGTTGGATATTTTCATATTTGTAATTCTAAATGGTCACTGTTACAGCATTTTTGTTTAATGAAAATAAAAGACAGTAAAATAGGGTCAGAAAGGTAGACATTTGGTAATGGTATTTTACGATTTTGAGATCATGTACATGTACACGAAC